ATGATCTCCGGCCACCGTAAGCGCGGGTCTGCGGACGACGAGTAAGGGTAGCTCGCCGCCCGACCAGAACCAGACCCGAGCGTACGGCGCGTAGCGTTCCGCACGCGCCTCGAAGAGCCAATAGACCACCACAGACGGGGCCCTATAGGGCTTATGTTCAGCCGGGGTTGCGGGGTAAGCGCAATGAGGCACACCACCAATCAGAGAGCAAAACGTAGTACATCTCCTATGACCTAACAACGTACCGTACCTAAAAAAACTGGAACTATGTAACACTATTTCTTCAAGGAAAATCAGCGATTATTTCAGGAAGCACAACCCAACATAATTACTGCCAGCCTTCTTCATACTTACAAAGATCAATTTGGTCTTTTATATAAGGAGCATCTCACATCCTCGATCATGCGATGTGAAAGGGTTGAACTAATTATGGATCTGTTGACTATCACTTATGTTTACGGAGGAAAACTATTAAGTAAATGTTGTCTGTGATATTAATTTTATGTAAGAAAGATAGATGTAAGATTGCACAAAAGGAAATATGCAGATATTTATATGTAGTCTCGTAGTAGTAATTAAAATATAAGTATTTTATAAGATTCGACTGCAAACTAGCAGACGGATTAACTGATGGTTTTTGGTCTTTTTTTAAGGCGAGAGAGAGTGTCAGACTTTTACTGACTGAAAACCCCCCGTTCCTTATCCTGCTCTGCTCCGAGGCCAAGGTGACTCATTGCGCTTAACCCCCGGAACGCTACGTACTGTACGCTCGGGTCTGGTTCTAGTTGGGCGGCGAGCTACCCTTACTCTCTGCAGACCCGCGCTTACGGTGGCAAGAGATCTTTCGATCCCCGACGCCCGGAATGTCGCCTACTGCGGCGGCTGGGGCGCTAGGAGGATAGTTACCTCACACGCTCCGCCCCCTCCTTTGCTTCGCAGAAAAAGGAGACGGCTTCCTAGTTCCTCTCGCTAACTAATGGTAAGCAATCAACTCCGCCCATGGACACAGGTGTTGCAAGTGTGTTAACCCTCTTTTTGGGGTTTAGGGGTCGGGGAGAGCAGATCAAGGAGAGGGATTGAAAATCTGGTACTCACAAGGCGAAACACAACGCTGTGGTTGAATCACGCCAGATTTTCCCACCTTTAAATTTGAGAGCTTGAAGGAAAGGTGGTTGAAATAACCTATCTTTTACTAATTAAATAAAACATCGACAATTTTATAGATCGTATCGGTATTAAATCGATCGTATTTAAAGTAAGTAAGCCTAATGACTTGCATTAGGTACATTTTAGGTCATTAAAGTTATTTTGTTTCAGTCTGTAAATTGTAAAATGGTTCATAGAGTATTATAATTATTAAGCGTTGTTACGTACAAATTAGAGCACCTTAGAGACTATATTCCAATAGCAAATTAGTATGGTGTCTTCGCAGTTATTCATTTAAGTTTTTTCTCCAAGTTTTTAATGGATAAGAAACGACTAACATTATGATATGTTAGGTACTCTGTGTATATTGACCGTAAATACCTGATACCTAATGTCATTGGCTGAAACAATTCCTGTCAGGGAAACAATATCGTGCAGTTTGCGAGCACCATCTCATTCCATCAATTTAAAAGAAACAACCAGATTAAAAATTAATAATATTTATTGGGGCTTAAAATCAATCACAGAACACAAACGCTCCTTTGCACCATAATCATAAAATGAAAAAACATAATTACGTCACAATAAATGACTTTTAAACATAATGACAAATAAATCATCTAAAACTCCTCGTTGCTTTTCAGTCACAGAATTTGGCAAAAAAACGTACACCATCTACTAAACCTAGACAAAACAAATAGGTATGTAAGAAAAATCCAGAGCGCCAACTTATTATTATGGACATTGCTTAGAACTGTTTTTATAATACCTATCGTGAGACATACTAAACTAACTGAAAATCGCGGGTTACTCACGTGTTTACATTGAGAAAAGCTCTACTATTTTCGAGCTACAGAGGGGTTCTTCCTCATGAGCAGCGTGCGCGGACGCACGACACGTGAGTAACCCGCGATTTTCAGTTAATTGCTTAGAACTATTTGACTGCACGATTGATGCGGTGGCTTGGCAACTGACTGCCATGCAACGTGTTGCGGGCTCGATTGCCGCACGAAACAACACTTTGTGTGATCCACAAATTGTTGTTTCGGGTCTGGGTGTGATGTGTATGTGAAATTGTGTTTGTAAACGCACCCACGACACCGGACAAATCCTAGAGTGGGGCGACGTTTTTTTTTTAAATTGATAAAATAAGAAAAAAATTCTTTAATAAAATGAAAAAAAAAATTGTTTCTTTTTTGTTTTATTTATACAAATGGATCAACAGTCAGCCAAAATTATAACGTTTGATTTTTATTAGTTTATTTCCTTTTAAAACAACAATTAGGTAAGTGCTGTTTTTAAAACCACGGGTGAGCTGCCGTTTAAAGAGGGTAATTTTTACTATTGCCATTACTACCTACTTATTTACACGTATTAATTTTATATTTTAATGTACAGAAGTGCATTAGATTTATCGAAATATCGATGCACGACGGTCCAGTCTCGTGTTGAATGATGTTGAATTGAATTGAAGACAAAGGTCAAATAAATAGTTAATTCAATTAAATATTTGTATATATGCGCTAGTTCTTAATTTCTCATACTAGTCTTGAATAACACTTGAAATCACAAATAAACGATTTGATTTGAAATTCTTTCATGAGCTCATAAAAGCCACTCTATATTTTTTGCCAAATTCTGTAGACCTAAAAGCCGAGGAAAATTACTTTCTGAATATCCAAACCCATTGTCATTTTGTCTGTAACATCTCCATAAAATATCCCCATTCGTGGGATTAAATATTCAGAACAGATACTAGAAATAAGTGGAGAAAATGTGAATAAACTTGAATAAACTTAAAATTAATACATATAATATAATTAAACTTTTTAAATATTATATAAATATAACTGCACAAGCATTATTGGACTAACAAGACAAGAAATGCTATGGAGAACTTTAAAAACACGTATAATAAAGACTAATTTTCTTTGATGAAAACATGAGAATATTTTCAATCAAAATTTCACTTTATTACTGAGAAATAGAGTACGTATTTGTTTCATTCTCTCGTCTTTTTAGTTTGAAATTAATACACAAATTACATAATATGTATACCCTGATCATGCTAATCTACATACAATGAATTGACGGGCATATCAAAGGTAAATCTTATCATAATCAGGCCAGCTGTTTTTGATCTTGAGCTCATAAATACAGACGAAACTAATATTAATTCAAATCAAAGTTTGTTCTGTTTAATTTATGTATAATTATTGTAGGCTGTGCTAACCCCATATAAATTTGATGTGTAAAGAGAAACTGCTGGTAAGAAATGCATTTAAAATTTTAATATAAATAATACATTTTTTTTATTATATAATTCATAAATCATCATTTTTGTCATAATATGATATTTTTGAATAACAACTCGTGAGATATAGATACAAAATTTATTAACAAATAACGACTTATACGTCAATTAACCAAGAAAAGCTCAACTAGTTTCAAGTCACAACGGGACTCTTATTCATGAGAAGATTGCGCGCCACGGCGACGTCGCGCAGCCGACTGTATTAGTAGTTTTTCTTGAAAAATTCACGTGAGTTAGTCGTTATTCCAAATAATATCAAAATATGAGCATGAAAAACACTAATATTCAATAGCTGAAAATTTTAAATTATGAAGGTTTTGCGCCATATGGACAACTGTTATAGCTTTAGTTCTATTGACCAATAATATTTTGCTAACGTCGACTCAATTACCGCTAAACTTGTGGCAGAACCTTACGCTGCAAAAGCGCCATCTTGTGGGCACAAAATAAAACATTTAGGACATAATATTACTTTTTGAAACTGCAAAATTAATATAAAAAAAAACAAATACTTAAAAAAGTGTAATCCGAAAGATGTTTATAGAGTAGTAAAAATTTTAGTTCCACTTGTTTCTAGCACCAAGCTTTTGTTGTACAAACCGTGTAGAGATGAGCAAATGTATGTATGCAAATAATTTTAATATTCGTTTTAATAGTCTCTTTCTTTTCTCAACAGATGGCGCTAATCTGTAAGAGGTCAGTTTGACCAATCACTGTAGGTTACAAAAATCGAGCGTCCAATCGTATCCAACTAATTCCCTTTTGGACAAAACGTCAAGAGATCCAAACTGGCGCCATGACAGTTCTGTTTTATAGAAATAATAGATTTATCGCCACCCCAACTCTTTTCGTCGTTGTCGTCTGAACCGATTACAAATTTGACAGAGGCAACAATTTTGTCTGATAAACATGAACCTTTTAAACTGCGATCTAAGTCTGTAGATAAACCTCGAAGGCTTTTTGAAGCCCTACTCCACAGATTTGCATACATATTTTTACTCGCCACTATTAACATTACGAAATTACATATTTTATTCAAATAACTAAACCAAGTTTCGCAATATTTTATTCTTTAAGCAATAATTTCAAAACTATTCACCGGTCTTTTTCATCTGATCTACATACAAAAACACCTGATCTACATACAAACCTGTTCAAAAGTATGAAGATCTTTAGTTCTCAATTAGTCAGTGGAAACATATTACAGACACTTTTTTGTCCTTAAATAAAACAATTTATTACTTTAAATAAGTGTTGATGATTTGTTAATGTGATGGATGACCATGATAATTGACTAGAATATAAAGCCCGTTAGTTAGCTTATAGCAGAAAAAGTAAAGGATGAAAACCCAAGAACGGTAGTCACCATGATTCTAAAAACAATATTGTTCTCTTTTATTTCAAGTGAAACAACACATTGTATCAATTTGTTTAATAAGTCACATTACGTAACTGAGCTTACAGTAAAATTGAGGCCCCGATATGATTCGAAAGTAGACAGGTTAACTCGAAAATTGTAGAGCTAGATGTCAAACTTGATTTAGTAAGTTATTCGATAAAATATGTAATTTCGTAAATAATTACCCACAATACATTCTGCGTAGAACTAAGAAGTTAATATTAACAAGGAGTGCTTAGTTCACAGTTCATATTTGTTCTTAAGATCAGCTATGACTTCGTCGGTACAGTTTTCAGACTGCTTACAATCCTCGAGAAGGGTCGTTAACACTGGAAATGAGAAATTATGTGTTAAAATCTATCACATTATCAGCAGTAGGTATGTGCCCCACTGCTGAACAAAGGACTCTTCTCATACAGAGGTTTGACCAATAATCAATTTGCTTGGTATAAGATGAATCTATGCCTTTTAAAGCCTGATTAGAGAGTAAGACAAATCTTGTTGTTAATGTTATCTACATTAATTTTTGAGACAATTTCAAAAATAAAATTATTTTAGTGTGGGAGAGCCATGTTTTACTAGGGATGGTCGGCTCGACGGATGTAGCACCACGGCTCCACATAAATCCGCGAAACAGCCCTTCAGATGCGTAGGTAGTTCACTGTTTTAGTGAAGTTGCCGAAACTCGCCAACTCAACTTACCCCCCTCCAATTCTCAAACCCCCAACCCCAAAAGGCCGGCAACTCAACCTCAGGTGTTACGGATGTCCATAGGCGATTGCTTACCATCAAGTGATCCGAAACCTTATTTACCGCTCTATACCATAAACTAATCTTATAAGTAAAGGTATATGAAATACTTACTCTGTTTATCAGTATGTGAGAGGAACATTGCGAGGGCAGAGAAGCGTGGTACGTTGGCGATGCCGGCGAGGTACGCGGCGGTGCGGCCGCGGAACTTGTCTCGGCAGGAGTGTAGCACCTGTATCACATCGGACACGACGGAGCTCTCCAGCGCGTTCGCGAATATGGACGGTATCTTTGACGGTTCTATTAGCTGTGGGACAGATAAGTTTTTATTATTAATTTTTAACTAGCTACTGTCCCGCTTTTTCAGCAGCTGCTCGGCTCCTACGTTTCGTAGCGTAATGTTTTATAGCCTATAGCCTTCCTCAATAAATGGACTAACAAACACGAAAAAAATTGTTGAATTCGAGCTATTAGTGCCGGCGATTAGCGCGTTCAAACAAACATTCATACAACATATTTTTTGATGACATTTCAAAAAAAGAATTAAATTAAACTAGTTGAAACTACTAACTTTTCAGAGCAGACGGATTACCTGATGGTAAGCAATCAGCGCCGCCCATGGACACCCGCAACGGTGGAGTTACGAGTGCGTTGCCGACCTTTTAGGGATTAGGGATTTGGAGATTTAGGGATTGAGGATAGATTGGGGGCGGGGAAGGATTGGGCCTCCGGTAACCTCACTCACAACGCGAAACACAACGCTGTGGTTGTTTCACGTCGGTCTTCTGTGAGACCGTGGTATCACTCCGGTCGAGCCGACCCATTCGTGCCGAAGCATGGCTCTGCCACACTTAAAATTTTTCCGTATTAATAATAATAAACAATACATACAAGACTCTACACTTTCGAACGAGCAAAAAGCTTCACTAGAGGACAGCTCGACAGACTGACAAACAAACTTTTTCATATTAATTTTTTGTTTGATGTTTAAAAGTGCCTATAGTGGTCTGTTGGAAATAAACGATTTAACTTTGACAAAAGCGAATTCAATAGGTTGTAGCCCAATCAAGAATGCAGTGGCACTATTAAAGGAAGAATTTTTAAGGGTTTCGCCAGTACATAAGTGTGGGAACTACTGTTTTTTTTTTAATGTAATAAGTCGGCAAACGAGCAGACGGATTACCTGATGGTAAGCAATTAACGCCGCCCATGGACACTCGCAACGGAGGAGTTACGAGTGCGTTGCCGACCTTTTAGGGATTAGGGATTTGGAGATTTAGGGATTGGGGAAGGGTCCGGGAAGGGGAAGGATTGGGCCTCCGGTAACCTCACTCACACGGCGAAACACAACGCTGTGGTTGTTTCACGCCGGTTTTCTGTGAGGCCGTGGTATCACTCCGGTCGAGCCGACGCATTCGTGCTGAAGCATGGCTCTCCCACACTTAAAACTGTGCAATGCAAATGCAGCAAACTCACAAGCTTTTGTTTATTTACCTAAAATCTTAACATTTAAGGATACTAATATTAATGTAAATCTCTTATAAACACGCAACTGATAAAACAACATTTACCACCAAGTTCTAAGTGTGGGAGAACCAAGGCTCGACCGGAGTGATACCACGGCCTCACAGAAAACCGGCGTGAAACCACCGTTGTATTTCATTGTGTGAGTGAGGTTGCAAACCCAATCCATTCCCCTCTCCCCATCCCTTCCCAAACTTAAATATTTCGCATATTTCACTCTTTTTTCTATTCACCATTATCTCTAAAAGGCCGGCAACGCACTCACAACTCCTTTGATGTTGCGGGTATCTATGAGCGCCTATTGCTTACCATCAGGTAATCCGCCTCCTCGTTTTGCCATCCTACCACATAATAAAATCCAAACAAATATTATAAAATAGGTACTTACACTCCAATATTCAGCCATGGCATCCCACTGTCCCTTCATGTACTTCCATTCCGACATAAATTGAACACTATTTATTGGTGGTACAAAGTTCTTTATTTTCTCCGTAACTATAGCTTCGGAGACCAGCTTCACTGACTCCGGACTAGCAACCTTCTTCTCCCCTTCACCGCAGGCATCTATTTTACCATGAGAGTCTTTTTTGTTGGAGTCATTGTTGTTAGAGTCTCCCTGGGAGAGATTGTCCTCAATATCAACAATTTTAAGCCGAGTCGGCGGCTTTTCTGGTGTTTTCTCTCCTAGTAATACTTCTTGGATTGGTATGGACTTTAGAGGTCTCTGTAAACGAAATATGATAATGTAAGTTCAAAAGTAAGAATTGATAGTCAACTGAAAATTTTTAAATAAACATAATTTTGTAAGAGAACATTATGAACAAAACACTTGTACTATTAAGGACCATTTTATAACAGTAATATTTGTCAGGAATTTAATAAGCTTCATAAACTTATTATGGAGGTCTACACCTCCATTATAACCACCTGATAAACTTACGTAGCACTTATACACTAGTCTGCACACATTAAATTCAATTTTCAAACCAGAACCAGGTATTAACTTATCAGAAATTTGAAACATGCCTTAAAGCTCAGTAGAAATACAATTCACTCAATTGCCACAAACAAATATGGATGCACAAAGATGAGGTAATGACATTATTGGACACAACAAATAATCACTCATCAACAATAAATCTCCGAAACCCCAAAGGCCCGGAAACACACTCATTAACCCTCTGGTGTTGCAGATTTCCATATTTTTTTTATGTGATAGTTCGGCAAACAAGCAGACGCGGATTAAGCAAGCAAGCCTGATGGTAAGCAATCAGCGCCGCCCATGGACACCCGCAACGGAGGAGTTACAAGTGCGTTGCCGACCTTTTAGGGATTAGGGATTTGGAGATTTAGGGATTGAGGAGGGATTGGGGGAGGGGAAGGATTGGGCCTCCGGTAACCTCACTCACACAGCGAAACACAACGCTGTGGTCGTTTCACGCCGGTTTTCTGTGAGGCCGTGGTATCACTCCGGTCGAGCCCATTCGTGCCGAAGCATGGCTCTCCCACACTTAAATGTTCGGCGCCGATTGCTTACTGGCTACGTCTGCCTGTTTGACGTCCCTATAATGCCCGTTTGACGTACAACATAAAAATTAGCAAGTTTAACTCACCTTAGATCTTAAATGTGGTGGTTTCTTTACGGGTTTGATGACCATGATGTTCTCTCCGACCCCCGTTCTCCAGTCGTCGGCGATGAGCTGGCCAGCCACGGCCGGCTCTGAAGGTAATTCTACTATCTTTGGCTGCATTTTAGGTTTCACTATAGGTTTGTTCTCAGGCGTAGGCGTCGTAACCGGTGACGATTTTGATTTAGCCTGTAATTGCAAGTCATATTATGAAACCGACAGTCTTTGATATTTTTCTTCAGCGTTGTCTTACGGTAATATTTTCTGCGTCTTGAGTGCGTTTACATACCTACAAAGAATTTTATTTTCGCATCGTACCCACATCCGGAAAAACTATTTAAGCATCACACATTTGTGCACGGAAGTCGATAGACCAGCTACTGCGTCAACTATGCAAAATGTTAGTAGAGGAAGCCTAGTGTAGATGTATACATACATATGTCAAGTAAAAAACAATATAAAAGAAGGAATCTTGCAGAATTTCCCCATTGAGGTAAGTGTTCGCATGGGATACATGCGGCAAGGATGACTGTAAGTTGCTACAATACACAAAAAACATCTCATCCTGTGCAGATCACGATTATAGAGCACGTAGTAGTTTAAATATTCTGACAAAACATTAAAGTCGCGAGAGAAGCCGTACTACATAAATATATAACACACAAAATTGATTAAATATGTTAAAAACGCAAGCCCTCATCGAACTTTAATTTCCAAAAGGACTTCTTTTGTATATTAGAGCATCAAGGAAGTCAATATAATTATGATAGTGATAAAACCAGTAAAAAATATTAGAATTTTGCGCACTCACCCCTTTCGTCCCCATTCTAGTCTTAATGGCTTCTAATTGTTTCCTAGCTGCAGTATTATGTGGTTCCAGTTTGAGCACTTCATTGAGATCATGAGAGGCAGCCCGGAGTGAACCGAGCCGTTCCCGGGCAGTGGCTCTCCGTTGAAGAGCTTTTACATAGGTTGGGTCGAGGCGCAACGCCTCTGAGCAGTCAGATTCAGCTTGGTGAAGACTGAAAACAGAATTAGATAAAATGTTTAAGGAATGAAAAATTAAGGAAAAGTTGACAAATAAACAGTATCCAGCATTGTTTATCTTTAAAAAAATGAAACAAATAGGTAGTTGCATAATTATGCAAAATTAATAAAACAACAAGATTAAGTAAAGGTTGGGAAGATAATCAATCAATGTAACAGGACTTGAGAAAATGGTTTAGTACTTCTGACTTAGTTGTGTTTTAATTCCTTATATTCAAGTCCTTTCTGGTATCTTCTCCTGTGTTGTATCAGACATACAAGATCACATATAAATCACACCCAGGCTTAAACAACATTTTCTGGATCACACAGAACTGTGCGGGAATGGGGAGTTACTTGCTCATTCTTCTCCATTCGAAACTACAATTTGGAATGAGCACCTACCTTCAATGACGAACAAACTGACAGTCTAGTCTTCTATTTTGATGTTTCAAAAGTACCTATTTATGGATTATTTGGAATAAATGAATTTGATTTGATTTGATTTAATGGGACCTGCAGCAAATGGTACAGTAACCTTTTACCCAGTCACTCTAGTGTCTATAGAGCACAATACTATTTGGTTAATCTAATTAACAACCAGCAAACATTTTCAAATCAAGTGCTTTGACAAATTCCTTTGTGAAATACCTCTTATGTTTTCTAATACATAATAAGATATTACAATTATCACAATAACTAATTGAATAATATGTTTTGAGATTACCTATCTTTCTTTAGGTAGCACAGTCCTCTGTTAGCATAATAAATGGCGTCATCTTTGACCAGTTCTATAGCTCTGTTGTAGCAGGATATTGCCTCATCCCATTTCTCTTGCTTCACAAATGTGTTGCCCTGGAAACCAAAGAAAACAGTTGCTGCTTACAAAGTATGTTGAAAACAGGATAACCTGTTTACTTAAAGTCTAAGAATAATTTATCATATTATTAGTTTTAGAATAAAGGACATAAGCCATCTTATCTGTCTCTTGCTAAGATGGGATAAAATATCTTGTATGTATTTATATAAAAATCAATGCTACTTTTCGTTGCAATGTTATAACTCAACAATGCCTCTTTTGATTGGTTTTGAATTATTTGTGGAAATCCAGAAAAGGTTTGTACGCAGAGATTGTTAAAAAAAAAACTTGAATAAGTGTAAAATTGACATCCATGTCATAATTTAATATTGAAGAGATGGTGACCTCTGAGTTTGTTATGGAGTTTCTTTTCAGGGTATAAAGAAAGGTCAGCTTCATTGTCACTTCAAATGTTGAATATAATACATGTAATACTCAGTAAAAGTAATGGCAAACAAATAGTTTACTGTGTATTTCTTGTTAATTTAAACTTTTTATGTTATGTTATTCCAAAATATTTTTAAGCTTTGCTTAGTTTTTTATGTCTATTGATTTTGTGTTACCTATACTTAAATATTTTTTTCGGGGAAGCTCAGAATGAGATGTATTTATTCCTAATTTAAGTTACAGCTCAATAAATACCATATTGAAGAGGCACACTTAATAACCTGGCATTATAAACAAAGTATTGTTTCTATGGATAAGCAGATATCTACATACTTTATCTTCAACCATGGCAATTGTTAGAGCAAAACCAATATACACTTAGAAAAGAACACATTGATAAACTGAGAGATTCTATTTTAACCCGTTTATGGTTTACTTTATTGGAATAAATGATTGTGAATTTTATCTTTGACTTTGCCAACTATATTCTGTTTTATAGCAAACTCACTCAAAATTCTATGCAGTGTAAGACTAAGTTTGATTAATTCATCAATCCCCAAGCAAACACAGGCATTCACACACCTATTCTTCTTCTAAGTATCCCGAATTAACAATATTAGAAGGTTAAATAAGAAGTAATTACCCTTTCCTTCTCATATTGGGCTTCTTCCTTGAGTTTCTCCAGCTTAGCTTGCTGACTCTTCTTGCCGTCCAAAGAAGTTGGGCCTACGTCTTCCATGTCTATATCCTCGCAAGCTTTATCCTAAAAATAATATAAGGTGTGAATTTTATTAAAGAACAACGTAACTATTGCCAGTTCTGTAGTTCTTCTAACAAACACTTAGATTCAGTAATGGACAATTCAATTTTTTTGTAATTAATTTGAATAATGTGTCTGACTTATGGTTATTAAATCCACCTTGATTGGCTACTGAGTATCACTAGTTGCTGGATCACTATATTTTCTTATATTTTTTAAAAAACTTTATTTGCAAATACACAGACAAATTACAAACTTAATGACTGAGGCAACAATACAGTACAATAAACTCTCTCTTCAATGAGACCATAGAGTATAAATCTATTGTCTTCCATTCTTAAGAAGGGATGAACACAGGTAGACTTTTTTTGTTAGAAAAACAAACAAAGGTTTTTAACTTACAACATCATACTTGTCCCATGCTGAATAATCAGAACCCTTGATCTTCTGCTCAGGTTTCTTTTTCGGAACCACAGGTTTTTCTTTCTTTATCTTGCTACGAACTGGAGGCAAATCCTAACCTCGAAAGTAAACAAAAACAAATATGAAAACCTTTGAAACATCTCCAGAAATCAATTTCACATCAACCCCCGTACATTTATGACGAAGACTACATATACTCTACTGGTAAGACATTATTACTCCTTTTTTTATTACAATAAAACTAACATAACCTCACTAAATACATGACAACTTTTACTTCCACATTATCAACCAATTTTAAGACTAATACATACAGAATTAAGTGTTATTTTTAAAATGTACACTCAATACACAAGTTAAAAACGGGAATAGGTCTAAACCTGTTCGAAAGCACCGTTCAAAGCAGCCTCTTTTCTTTTCATCTCTGCTTCCCAATTCTGCAAGTCTGTCATGTAAGTTTGTAACTCTTTTACATTATTTCGAGCTTGATTCTGAATTTGAAAAACTTTATCCATGATTCTAATGGTAGGTAGCACAATAAATACGTCTTTACGATTACCTGTTAGATCAATAATTATTTTCAGTTGCACATCAACGACAACGTAAACTTGTCAAACAAAATTGTGATTGTCATGGTAATTTTATCATGGCGGGCTTTTAACGAAGTGCGTTCGGAAATATTTCAATTTTTTGCCAAAAGAAACTAATTATTAATAAATATGAAAGTTACCCAGTACCGTGATCGAAATAGACAACAATCATGTAAATAAAATTATTTCATACACAATTTTTAATTCGAATATGGGCAACTTCTGATAAAAATTTTAGTACTATCGCCATTACCCAACGAAAAAAGAAAAATAAAGAAAAAGAAAACTCTAATGGCATTTCGCCGGGGCTGCGGGGTAAGCGCAATGAGGCACCGCGACCTCGGCCCAGAGCAGGAGAAGGAACGGGGGGGTTTTTAGTCAGTAAGAGTCTGACACTCTCTCTCGCCTTACCCTGGGCGGGAGAAGTCATTGGATGATTTTCCCCTGACAAAAAAAAAAAAAAAAGTATTTTTTGAGGGAAAGTAGTCGGAAGTAAATTATAACAAAGCAAAGTTTATTTATGGATTTTACTATTTCTAAAATAAATAAAATTGCGAATAGATAGGTACTTAGGTATTTATTTAAGTAAGAAAGTGTCTATGCATTTTTTTGAGTATACAGAGTATGTAGCATTAAAAAGACATAACATTTGTATTTTTGTATAGGTATCTAGGGGGGTAATCTTTGAAACCGCTGATCGGATAAATTATCTATTATTCCTTTGCTTGAAAGGACTCAAGGATTGCAACCTCAACCTCCAATTAGATGAAAAACTTTAACATCTTGTTAGTCTTGTTCCTGCAATTTAAACGTAGTGGTTACATACTCTTTGCTGCAATTTTTTTTAGGGTTCGGAGTTAATTAATAACATTTTAAGATGTCGAGGAAAAGCTGTTAAAAAGAAAATTTTCTGTAATTTCGGAGTTCTCGGGTTTTTTATAACCCAACACAGAGAAGGTTTGAGCATTAACCACTACTGATTGTAGTTAGAAATTATTTTAAGCTCAGGTTTCCAGGTTTTCCTTCACCGTATGTCAGTTATGTCTAAATAATCATAGAAAGTAGGTAAGTACCTTTATATACCACATCACTTAGAAAAAAAAACATTGATAGTATGAAACCAGCACCCTGATGCATGAGAAGCGGGCGCTCTAACCACGACATGTCCGGAACGCCAACCACCAAAACAAATGACACCTTATGACGACATTTACCTAAATCTTTTTGTTGGGAATTGGCAGCATCGAGAAGCGGTGCCTAAAACACACTCACCTCGTTACTTATCGATAGGTTGTGTCAAGTCGCTGCCTGAGTCTAGAGCAAGTGAAGTAACGGTAGGATTTTTGGTCAGTAAGAGTCTGAATTCTCTCTCTCTAACCCTGGGCGAGAGAAGTATGATTTGCCCCTTACAAAAATATTATCGTAAAAACAATCGATAGCTACCAATCAGACCTTCACTCAAGGTTGCACCGTACCGATCAACAAATAAAACACAATTTTCATAAACTAATAAATTAATTCGTTACTCGTCACAGAGTAACGCGGTAAGCCAGTAAACCAATTAAGAACATTTTTATAACGAATGCGTGCTTTCAAAGACTTGATTTAGTTCATCATGTCAAGGTTACTTACGTAGTTGAACTTCTGAGTAATATTATACTAACTGTGTAGCTATTAGCTTTTACATTCGGCCTTGTCCATGTGAAATTATCATTCAAACTTATAGACCTACCTATGTATATCCTTCTCAATTCTCTTATCTGGATTCTCCTAATCTTAGTAGGAAGATTATTCTATCTTACCCACTCAAACGTCCGGGCGACTATAGCAGCCCAAAAAATTTTGGCGTTATTATAAATGCGAAAGTTACGTTGTTCGGATGTTTGTGACTTAATCTTAGATCTTTTAATATAAGTACGCAACGGGTTACAATGCGGTTTTTAACAACGAGCAGACAGATTACCTGATGGTTAGCAATAGACGCCGCCCATGGACACCCACACCCGCAACACCAAAGGAGTTAGGAGTGCGTTGCCGGCCTTTTAGGGATAAGAGCTTTGGATATTTAAGCACATTGTGCAAAAACACTATTGAGAATCGAGTCTGAAACACCTTTCTCGACCTAGGACGAACAGCATTGACAAAAATCATCCAATGAATTCTATTGCTCGTCTCCCATCGCGACAGGGTGTATAACAGTCTGTTACCTACTTGGGCAGGAGATTAAACGTTCTTTCTCTTGCTATGAATTGGAACCGCAGCTAGTAGACAACCCCGGATGGCCATCTGCCTGGTTCTGGTTCTGGCGAACTACCCACGCTCAACGTTTGGGAATCTACTTAACTAAGTACATATTTTAAGAGTAAGTGAGCTATGCTTCGGCTCGAATGGCTCGACTCGATCGGAGCGATACCACGGCCTCACAGAACTCCGGGGTGGAACAACCTAAGCGTTGTGTTTCGCCATGTGAGTGAGGTTACCGGAGACCCAATCCTTCCCCTCCTCCGATCCCTGCCCAATCTCAAATTCTCTAAATCCCTAATCCCAAAAAGGTCGGCAGCGCACTCGTAACTCCTCATAAGTGCGGCGCTGATTGCTTAAACCATCCCAGGCAATGCGTCTGTTTGTTTACCATTCTACCACATATTAAAAAATATACCTAAAACACTGAGACAATAATTGATTAGTGTCTGATATCCAATATTATGTAAGTAATTGTTTTTTTAATCTTAGCTTTTGAATGTAACAAGGATATTTTGACATCAGGTACGTACGTACCTACAACATGCCATATTCTAATCATAATCGATTTGTTAGGTAATTTGTTATTATTGTTGTTGTATAAAAAAAACTGTAGCTTGTTAACAAATTAATGAAAAAACAGTACTTTTTGAACACCGTATATCACGAAATGTTACAAGGTTCCGTAGGTTATTAAGTTGCGTGGATTATACCTATTCAAGTATTTTGAGCGAGGATTCTTTCGTGAAAAGTTTACTATACATACGTACTTACTTACTTTGGAATATACATACAGTTATGTTAAGTAGATGTTATGTGTTACTGAGTTTAATTCAGAGAGCCATGCTTTGACACGATGGGACGGCTCGACCGAAGTGATACCGCGGCTGCACAGAAAACTGGTTGAGTTTACGGAGGCCCATTCTTTCCTCTCCCTATATTTCCATCCTTATCTCTAAAGCCTAAAACCCTCATGTCAAAAAAGGCCGGCAACGCTTTCATAACTCTTCTGGTTTTACATGACATGTGTCCATGGGCGGTGCCGACTGCTTACCATCAGATAATCCCCTAGTTAGTAGCAGCTCTATTTCATAAAAAGAAAATGGGCCCATAAATCAGGATGATACATTTTGGACTAATTACGGCCCTACCCAAACTGAATAACAATAATATTATTTGTATTCATACCCCAGGCCTCAACAAAATCATTACAAACAAAGAAGAGCTTAAGCGTGTATTAAATAAATTTATTATTTATTTATTTATTTATTTATTTATTATTGCTTAGAAGGTACATTTTTCATTATAAAAAGTATAAAATGTCCAACAAAACTGTATACACAGTTTGTCTGTTGGATCAGATTTCTAAACTATTGACTCGAAAAATAAAATTAATATATTAGATAGTATTATATATGTATATGTGTGTAGTATAGGTAATATATTAGTATTATATATTATATGTTAAGTTATATAAGTAGTATTAGCAGGTTAATATTAAGTACGTAAGTATGAAAATCAAAGATTGGATAGATATAATCGGAGTATAGATATAGCATAAGTAAGAAAAGTAGTCGGTAGTTAGGTAGTAGTAGTAGTTAGGATAGTAATACAATAAAAAGTTAAGGCAGTGTACTGAGTAGGTGTTTTTTTGTTTTATCTTAAATTTATTTTTCCTATTTTCGTCTCTGATGTCGTCTGGTAAGCTATTGAGTACGTATGGGACACGCTTTTCTAGCGTTCGGTACCTATAAATGACTCCGAATACAAATAATCTGATGGCCATTAAAAAGTTTGCGTTATTCTACCGACCTCTTGACCAATTCAGAACAGAAAGTAAACAATTAAGCAGATCACGCACGATTTTATCAAAGTCTAATTGATTAGGTAATTAAAAACTAACAAAATTGGTTTGCAATACTTTACTACTCCTAATGTTGGTAAAACGTGACTTTGAGCGACTGAATAAGCCAGGGTAGGGTCCTACGTACTTACCTATCGATAGTTACAAGTTGTTGATTTTAAAATTATAGTAACCTCACAGGATTTTTTCTTTTTTATCACAATATTATTATGTTTTAAGCTTGGGAGACTCATGCTTCGGCACGAATGGACCGGCATGAAACCACGGATCTCACAGAAAACCGGCGTTAAACAAGAGCGTTGTGCGACGTGTGAGTGAGGTTACTGAAGGCCCAATTCTTCCCCTTTCCCAGTCCCTCCCCAATCCCTAATCCCTAAAATGTTGGCAGCGCAATCGTAACTTCTCCGTTCTTGCGGGTCGGCTCATCATTAGGCAATCGGTATGCTCATTTGCCGTCCTATAACATATAAACAACTACGAAAGGCTGCCAACTCTTTTGATATTAAAAGTGTGCATGGGTTGCGCTGATTGCTTACCATCATGTATGTAATCCATGTGCTCGTTTGTTAACTATGTTATACAAAATATTATTATCAAATTGCCTTAAATCTGGTGAGTTATAAAAATCCCCACATAGAACCAAAGTCATTGTTTTGGGAGGTTGTTCATTCATCACCTACAAAAAAGTTATAGGCATGTTTCTAAAATAGCGACAATTATTGAAAATAACGACTTATTCACGTGAATTTACTGAGAAAAGCTATACTAATTTCAAGTCCCGACGGGACTCTTATTCATGAGCCGCGTGCGCGTCGCGACGGCAACACACGCAGTTCTTTCTACATTCGTTGGTTTCTTCAGACTGTAAATTTGTAATATGTTATAATTACCGAAACTAAATTTAATAATAATTTACGGTTATTCAAAATGAAAAAAAAACACATATAGGTACTTACATTTAT